CACAGTCTGGGTCCTCATTTCACCCACCTCGGAAGGATGGAAGGCTGAGTCAACCTTGAGACGGTGAGATTAGAACCGCCGAACTGCAGATAGCAGTCAGCTGAAGTGGCCTGCAGTACTGCACTCTAACCACTGCGCCACCTCGGCTCCTATAATTAGTGACAAACGAAAGTGTCCTGATAAACTGGAGACCCTAGAACAGTGATGGTGAACCTTTTCGGCACCGAGGTGGCCAAACTGGAACGCACGTCTGTGCACATGTGTGCATGCGCTGGCCAGCTGTTCTTCGTGTGCAACGGAGTGCCGGAAACCTGAAGACTGGCTGGCCGGTGCACGCCCGATGCTCCAGCGCAGGCGAAGACCAGCTGGCTATAGCACGCGTGCCTACGGAGAGGGCTCTGCGTGCCACCTCTGGCGCGCATGCCATAGGTTTGCCATCACAGCCCTAGAAATGTGACGCTTTGAGCTGAACCTCAAATAAAAATTAATGAGCCTCGTAGCGATCCTTGCATAAAAGGAGTGAAAGTTGAGAACGGCTGGAAGTGACTGCCGTTGCTCAGCACACGTTCAAAGTCGTGCTTTCAGGAACCAGATGTACAACTCACACAGATTATCCTGCCTCTCCCAGTAAGGGCTCCATGTTACAGCCTGGAACCAATTTCCGTAATTAAAACTGCTGCCAAATCGTGGAAAACAATTGTTTCTATTTGTGTATTTGCTGACTTTCAAGCTGGCACTCCCGCTCGGTTGACAGGCTTTCCGTTCCCCGCTTAATATGCTGCTGAAGACGTTGGGGAGACGGAAGGGAATTGGCAGAGGCCGTATTTAATTATTCGAATGACTTTATCCTGCCTTACCTCAAAGGCACAAGCGTGAGGGGTCCATGCATTCAAAACTAAGGAGGCTAAAATTAGAGGAGTCGGTTATTTTTGGTCTTTTCCAACTTAAAAACAAGCAGAAATCAGCAGGAAACCTAACCAGGCTGAAGCTGCTTATGGGAGAGCCACATTTTTAAAATTGCATCCTGCTTCTCTGCTTTGTTCCTGTGAAATAACGGGCCACACTAACCAAAGATATATTAAATAGCGAAGTTTAGACTTTTCTTTGGGTTGATGTTATGATCCCAAATCTACACAACCCGCTTTTTTCAACCCATCTTTCTCCTGTTGTGTTGCCAGAATCCGCAATGCAGCTTGAACGTCTACAGAGAGTCCCCGACTTACAGCCGCAATTGAGCCCAAAATTTCTGTTGATAAACGAGGCAGAGGTTAAGTGATTTTTAGCCATTTTACGAACTTTCCTGGCACAGGCGTTAAGTGAATCACTGCAGTTGTTGAGTTAGTAACACGGTTGTTAAGTGAATCTGACTTCCCCATTGACTTTGCTTGTCAGAAGGTCTCAAAAGGTGTTCCCGGGGGCACAGCCACCGTCATAAATGTGAGTCAATTGGCAAGTGTCCGAATTTTGATCACAGGACAATGGGGGTGCTACAACGGTCATAAGTGTGAAAAACAATCATAATTCACTTTATTCGATGCTGCTGTAACTTCAAACACACACTAAACAAATGGTTGTAAATCAATACTGACATGGGCCAGGAAGAGAGGAAGTGGCAGAACAGGCCTACTTGAGGCAAAAAATGCTTGAGGTAAATTTGGTGAGCCCAAAAGGGGGCCGAGTCCTGATTACAAAATGCAATTTAGGGGAGGAAAAATGCCATCACTTTATGGTTTGTTTTTTTCTGACTGCAAGTAAAATGTCTTTGATTCTGCATTGCAAATATGTTGAATTTTCTCTCTCTCTCTCTAATCTCTGAATTTCACAGCTGTTGTGTACGGCCTGGACACGTTGACAGTTGTGGGAATTGCCTTTGCAGCTTTTGTGATAGGTGCGCTGCTGACAGGAGCCTTATGGTTTATCTATTCCCGCACAGGTGAGTCCGATGTTTTTTCCGAAATTGCGCCGTTTACCTGTAACATTGCCCACTTTAACTTACCATTGATTTGCTTTGAAAAGTAAAAGCCCCTGAAGGATCATTATAGATGCCTATCCTAATCAATAGTTTCTCATATAAAGGACTTATTTTTAAACTATAAGAGTTTCAAGTATTGAGAATATTTATATAACCACATTAAATAACCATAGCAGTGTTTTTTTTTCCAAACTTGGCAATTTTAAGATGTATGCTTTGCAGCTAATACATTGAAAGGATAGAGAAAAATGTAGCTATCATAAAGCAGGGGTGGAATTTTGTATCTTGCATCTGAATGGAAAATGAAAAACCATTTAAATATGTTAATTGGCATTCATATCAACTTGTCCAATAGAGACTGGGGCAACCATTTTCTAGCCAAACATCTGTAAATATATTTACTGAATTCTCTGAGACTTTCTTTCAAAGAATCATAGGTAGCTTCTTCGTTGCATTGCAAATGATATAATGATAGATCCATGTTGTGGTTGTGTATAAGTTGGTAGAGAAAACCCAAGTTAGGTAAACCAACATTGCACATGGCTCAGTGGAAAAGACGTCGAGCTTGTCAATCAGAAAGGTCAGCAGTTCGGCAGTTTGAATCCTAGCGCCATGTAAAGGAGTGAGTTCCTGTTACTTGTCCCGGCTTCTGCCAGCCTAGCAGTTCAAAAGCACGTAAAAATGCAAGTAGCAAAATAGGAACCACCTTTGGTGGGAAGGTAACAGCGTTCCGTGCGCCTTTAGTATTTAGTCATGCCGGCCACATGACCACGGAGACGTCTTCAGACACAACTGGCTCTTTGGCTTTGAAACGGAGATGAACACCACTCCCTAGAGTCAGGAATGACTAGCACATATGTGTGAGGGGAACCTTTACCTGTAAGAAAAAGTAGGTGTTAAGATGATTGTGGCTGTCTGGAAAATAAAGGCAAGATTAGATAAGAATAGCCAAGCGGTTGCCATACTAATATTTTATCTGTTTTCACATATGAAAGTACAAAATCACAGCTTTCACACATAAAATTGAATGCAAACCAGTACAAAGAATTGTATCAAATGAACTCTGGAAAAGAATGGAAATGTGTGGGCAGGTTTCTTAGGAGTTGAAATTTCTTTCACAGTCCCTTCAGATCACCATAAAGGAAAATTGATTTATGACTGAAAACTGAGACATGCCATCA